CCTCCCCCCCTCCCCCCTCTAATTATCTGCACATTCACCGGGTGACAAGCGCTGACAGCCAGGCTCAAATCGCATCTCCACACCGTCCCTCTCACCGGTTTGTGACTGAACGACTCGCAGTGCGTGGGTTGGGTGGGGGGTGGGGGGGGGCTCCCTTGGCAATGATAAATGGGCCACTCGTATTGGTTTAGCATATTCCTGGGGTGTATGTATTATTTGCTATCGTGCCCGCGGCTGTCTAACAGAGAAGTGGTTCACTCTAATGTAGTGGCTCTCCATGAAAATTGAATTGATAGAGCCCTGGGGGACACAGATTTTTTAGTGGATAAAACACTGTTTTATTTCAATAACAAGCAGAAAACACAAGTAGAACGAACATATGTAACAATATATCCCCCAGATATACTTTCAATGAAACTTAATTGAAGGTGTTTTTTACGTCTGTTTTCGCTGTGTCCTAATGATGGTTTGTCTCGCCTGACATGTGGCCCAAATATTACCCTTTCATTTGAATGACTCACACACACACACACACACGCACACACACACACACACACACACACACACACACACACACACACACACACACACAGCCAAGTGGCATGTTTTATTTATGATGAAGAACCTACGGCGTGTATTGTGTCCCTGATGTTTGCTTTAGCAGCGAGCCAGAGATCCACTCCCGGCCTTTGATTAGGCAAAAAGCTCCAACTGGGGGGGGGGTTCTGTGTAATGAAGAGATTATTGAGCCCCCTCAACTGTACCCCAAACTCTGCATGAACACAAATACAGTTGCAGATGGACATCATACAGAGCCATGGTGATGGCACAGTGTACACATGCACTTAACCTGATCATATTGTAGCTTTTTCTTTTATTGGAGGCAGCATTGCAGGCACAACAAGGAAAGGCAGGGGTCTCTAATTAATTTAGAGTCCTCTGTGGGTCTTGGTGGGTATCAGGGGGGTACGAGTCTTCTAGTAATTCAGCTAGGATGAATACCATTACCATCTAATGCTGTCCAATTACAGAGGCAAGGTTCATTCTGGGCTCCACTGCAGATAATACAATTGTATATGTCGATACAGACGGGAGGAAGCAGTATTACTGTATATGTTACACACATACATTTGTTGTCTTGCGGATTTTTCATTTATTTCGATACATTTTAGTGTATTAAAATCAATAGTATCCAGCAGTCCATTCAATCCCAAGCTTAACATGATGGTGATAAATTCTGTCATATCTAGATGGATACATTTTTTTATCAACCAGGAAATGAAAAGCAGCCCGACAGAGGTCAAATGTAATCCTGAAACACCCAATCTGGGCAAATATATGGCTCAGTAGACCAGTATAAAATCCTGCCTGGGCCATTTTATAGATTACTTAGCCTATTCCATTTGATATTGCTTTTTCCCCCCCACAACCACTGTATTGTTTGATAGAGCTGGCTTTTGTTTGATCGTTGCTGCCAGTTTTAAATCAGGAACATGTTGCCCTCCGCAGGAAAGACAGGGTAGTGCATCTCATCCATCCACAGCCATGACATACAGTCAAGTGAGAGGATTATCTCCTCAATCATCGGATTGACTAAAGTCAACGTTCTCACAGAAAGTTGCCCGGCCTGTTTTCCCTCACATCCCATCTCCGTGTTGACTTTGAGATATCTTCCCAGGGCATTGCATCAGGCGTGTTGCCCGTCGTAAGGTCTCAAAATAAAGAATATGCTTTCAATTAGCATACTCTTTACCACAGAAAAAAAGGCAGTCAAGTTTGCGTAGACTATAAACATTTCAACCGAGAAAAACTGTAATGTATTGCTAGGGATTTCTGGCCACATAAAGATATGGTAATGTTTGACTTAATGGCTTTGGGCCTTGTTAAATTGCTGAAATTATATATTGAACAAAAGCAATAGAGGGCTTTTACTACAATGTAGACCATAAATCCTGTGTTGTTATTGAGGTTGTTGGCAAGACTCTGTCAGCAGACACACAGTGGTCTATGGTTTATGCTGGGGGGGGGGGGTAGGTTAGGAACAAAAATCAGGACCAAAGCCACCGTGCTTTTGTGTGAATCCAGGCCAACTTGCTGAATAACAGTGTACACATTAATACAGAGGAGAAAAGCCCTTTGTGCCTGCATTGAGGTACTTTTTATGGATGTTTGTATCATAAAGTGGCTTAAGGAACATATGTACTCTAAGTAAACATTAGTAATATGCTCTGTAGGGAAAGAGATGGCAAAAGTACAAACGTCATTTACTAGAGTAGAAGTACAGATACTCTGGTAAAAGTAGAAGTACTGACTAAACTAAACTTTACTCAAGTAAAAGTAAAGAGGCTTTGAAATGTACTTCAGTAAAAAGTACCCATAACTAGCAGCTGTTTTAAAGAGTACCTGACCTCCCTTTATATTAATAGAACAATAATGTCATTGTTAGCTAATGAATGTTTCCATGCTGAACAACGGCAACATGACAACGTTTTCATTGGTCCCTCTTCTTTAGAGAAGACCAGGAAATGATGGATACACGGATCGTGTTCAAATCAATAGGCACGCAATGACTCTAAATAATAATGATCACGCCACCAAACACACATTCAGACTAAAGGAACCAGCCTGTTTGGAAAATGTGAGAAGTAGAAAGTACAGGTATTTGGGTTCAACATGTAAGAAGTAGAAAGTACAGGTATTTGGGTTCAACATGTAAGAAGTAGAAAGTACAGGTATTTGTGGGTTTGTTTTTTGTTAAAGGAAAGTAAAATAAAAGTGGGGTCGGTCAGAAAAATAAGTAGTGGGGAGAAAAATGTCAGCTAATCAAAGTATTTGTCTCGATTCTTCCCACCTCTGGTGTAGGGGATGACCTCCTCTACACGCTGATTCTTCTTTCTTTAAGGATGGAGAATGGGTGAGAATAGCAGAAAAGGTCATGTGGGTTTTTGCTCCGATATATTTAGGCTCTTGGCAGGGGGGAGGTACCTATTTAATGCCTCTGTACGGGCTGGATTTACAGCGCCCCATTACTCCTGACAGCGAGGAGCTGCTCTTCCCTGTTGGGGGTGTAAAGAGGTCTGAATTTATAGCCGCACGTCGAGCACCGAGAACTGGTTTTAAATGGGTGGGGGACTCGGTTTTGGAATTTCCCTTCTCCTCGAACCATCTCCACCCAGTTACATATCTGCTTTGGTGACAGAAATTCTGGGCGGCGGAAGAAACACGGTTATACTGTAATGAAATATGACGTTCCATTTGGTGCACTTTACATCGGCATCTGTGGCTTCACAGTTTTCTAAAATGTTTTGGTAATTTACAAGACCGGGGTTTCCTGGCTTGTTTTAGTAGGGTTTTTCTTGTGCGGTGTGATTTTTACCGCTGTAAGAATTTAAATCATGCTGCCATCGTTGTATGATACCGCTGAGCCAAAGACAAACATCAACTATTTGTGCATGATCCATGTTGTACCCATTTTTCAGTCAGCCAGTTTCGCTGACTCTTTCACGACCACTAGATGTCCCCATTTAACTCTTGTGTGTAAAAGCACTTCTGAAGCCTCACACTGATATGCACCAGATTGCGGGTGACTATACGCAGAGATGATTTGTTAGGCAGGGCGTGTCCAAACCTCAAGGGGCCCGGTGGCCAAATCGGCCCTGCGACTTCATTTGTCGATCGTCTCGGCCCGCGCGCTCGCAAAGACAAGTTAGTAATATGTTTCCTTGATACGCGCGGTTACATGGGCGATTTATCAGAGCACGTGCTCCCATAACATGTCCCCCCACTATGCATCTCAATTAAAAAAAAAAAAATTCTCAGAATCTCGCCATTTTTCGTCAGCATTTGATTTTTTTTGTTCCAAAATGTCCTTTTATTTAGCCTTTTCTTTTAAACAAGTCATTTTGTGACGTCTCACACTGAAGAGACTTGCAATTATTGCTCTAGACTTTCTGCTTTCAGACCGACGTATAATTATGAAGTTATTACCCCTTATCCGATACATAATCCGGAATGCAGTGGGCATAAGCTGTCCATCATCAATACCAATTCATGTTGCTAGGGTATGATTTAATATGTAGCAACCTGCATAGGTCTTTTAAAGTTACAACCGGCCCTTTTTGGGATGAACCTACTGCGAATGTGGCCCGAGATGAAAAGAGTTCGACACCCCTGAATGTGCTAGGTTCAAACATTCAGCTATCCATTAGTGAAATAAATTAGGAATCTCCTTCCAGGATACTCTCTCTTCCGCCTCAAAGACTCCAACCTCTACTTCTATTTAGATATTGTATGGGCTATTTGATCTTGCATCCTTGGGTTACTATAACCCTTTAGGAACACACAGTTAGAGGGTTTACACTACACATGTATACGTTTTTAGCACTGTTGAGAATATGCACATTAACATGATTGTATTCTCGGCCTCTGTCTCGCTCTAACTGCTGCTTTACCACGTTTATATGTGTCGTATTTTTTACTGCAGTGAGAGTGCCAAAGATATTTTGTCTGTACTTTGTATGACGGACAATAAAGAAATATTCTATTCTGATTATTATATTCTTACATGTAAGCCATGAAAGCTTCAGGAATGGAAATTGAAATCATTTTTTGATTAGAATTTGTTTTTTAACTTTGTTTCCAGCTTGTCACAAATGAAGATAAAAAGCGTTCAGAGGTAGAATGCGATAAGGAATGAATGGCTAAGAGATGGGAGAAACAGCTCGGTGCGCATAGATCTTTGAAAATACACAACCGAAAAAATCTGCCCTTCCTTCAGACTATCCTTACAGAGCCCCTCTCAAACACACACGCCGACGGCGCACTATTGGGACCAATGGAGGGGCACGGCAGATAAGTTTGTGCACAGATGGAAAGGCTGACAGGGTCAGGTAGGCACCATCAGTGTTTTAGCCGGGCGGCTCAGATGATTTGGTCGCT